GAGTCTGAGCCCTGCCACATGCACAATGGAGAAGCACCCCAGGTGGCCAACTTCTAGTCAAAGGAAATTTAGTAGTATAATGCCAAGTTTTTAATTTTCTTTGTGGTTTTTCGATACATTATAACTGTATTCTCAATTCACTTACGACACAATAAATAAATAAAACCAGAGTATAAAAGGTAAAGGTAGTCCCCTGACATTAAGTCCAGTCATGTCTGACTCTGGGGTGTGGTGCTCATCTCCATTTCTAAGCCGAAGAGCCAGTGTTGTCCATAGACACCTCCAAGGTCATGTGGCCGGCATGACTGCATGGAGCGCCGTTACCTTCCCGCCGGAGCGGTACCTATTGATCTACTCACATTTGCATGTTTTCGAATTGCTAGGTTGGCAGAAGCTAGGGCTGACAGCGGAAGCTCACGCCGCTCCCCGGAATCGAACCTGCGACCTTTCGATCAACAAGCTCAGCAGCTCAGTGCTTTAACCCACTGCGCCACCGGGGGCTCCCTAAAACCAGAGTATGCACGACTGGAATCCAACAAGGTGGGGTTTTGTTTTGTTTGTTTGCTTGCTTTTTTCCTTTATTTTGTTATTTTTTTGTTTTGTTTTGTTTTTGCTGGGGGACATTTAAATTGGAAATAATCTCTGGAAAAGAAGCCAACTTCCAACCTTTTAAATAGAATATACGCACTATTTATAGTGAGGCAGTGCCACTTCCTGGATGCTGGGAGAAATGCAAGTTGAAAAATGGGCAGACATATATCACATTGGATTCATAACTCAAGTATGCCCCAAAACATCCAAATCCTATATGTATTTCCTATTTTCTTCATGCCTGCTGTCCTATATGAAATTAAGAACAGTAAAGTCCCAATACACCTCGCCAAAGTTCTGGATAATACTGTATAAGATAGGATCTTGTTAACATAGCCACATCCTACTGCTTCTCTCAAAATATTAAGAGTTTTATAATGACATTGAATTAATTTTGTTAAGATCTATAACTTGAAACATCTGCTCGGGCCTGTTTTTGGCTTTGAAGCATGGCATCTGGTTTGCGGTTATTGTTCTGCATTACCTTTTCCTTTCTTTCGATTTCTTTACAGTTTTTCTCTTTTTTAGTTTAGTTTAAATTATAATTTTCAAAAATATATTTGGGATGTTTCAGATTTCTGGACTGCTTTCAGATAGGCAGCTTAAGCTAGAGGAAGATTAGGTCAAGCTAGTTTACAAAATAAATACGACTTTTCTGCTCAGTGTGTATTGTACAAATATTTGCAAGAATCAGGAGAGCTGTCCTTTCAGGAAATTTCACACATTGCAAAAAAAGAGTACATCATTCACCTAGAAATCCTGTCTCTGAAGATCTACTACATTACACAGCCCTTGTTACCACTTTAACTGTCATGGCTCCAACATAGAGTTGGAAGAAACCTCGTGGGCCATCTAGTCCAACCCTGCTGTCAAGAAGAAGGAAAATCGCACTCAAAGCACCCCAACAGATGGCCGTCCAACCTCTGTTTAAAAGTCTCCTAAGAAGGAGCCTCCACCACACTCCGAAGTATATAGTTCCACTGCTGAACAGCTTTCACAGTCAGGAAGTTTTTCCTAATGTTCAGGTGGAATCTCCTTTCCTGTAGTTTGAAGCCATTATTCCACGTCCTAGTCTCCAGGGCAGCAGAAAACAAGCTTGCTCCCTCCTCCCTATGACTTCCCCTCACATATTTATAAATGGCCCTCATCATGTCTCCTCTCAGCCTTTTCTTCTGCAGGCTAAACATGCCTGGCTCTTTAAGCCACTCCTCATAGGGCTTGTTCTCCAGACCCTTGATCATTTTAGTCACCTTCCTCTGGACACATTCTAGCTTGTCAACATCTCCTTTAAACTGCGGTGCCCAGAATTGGACTAAGTGTGATTCCAGGTGTGGTCTGACCAAGGCAGAATAGAGAGATAGCCTGACTTCCCCGATTCTAGACACTATACTCTTATTTATGGAGGCCAAAATCCTATTGGCTTTTTTAGCTGCCACATGACATTGTTACCTCATGTTTAACTTGCTGTCCACAAGCACTCCAAGACCTTTTTCACACATACTGTTGAGCCAGATGTTCCCATTCTGTATCTCTGCATTTCTTTATTATTTTTTTTTGCCTAAGTGGAGTGTCTTGCATTTGTCCCCGTTGAACTTCGGTTTGTTAGTTTTGACCCATCTCTCTAATCTGTCAATATTGTTTTGAGTTCTGTCCCTGTCTTCTGGTATTAGCTATCCCTCCCAATTTGATATCATCTGCAAACATGATGATCATGACTTATAACCCTTCATCTAAGGCAGTAGTTCTCAACATTCCTAATTCTGCGACCCCTTAATACAGTTCCTCATGTTGTGGTGACCCCCAACCATAAAATTATTTTCGTAGCTACTTCATAACTGTAATTTTACTAGTGTTGTGAATCGTAATGTAAATATCTGATATGGAAGATGTATTTCCATTCATGGAACCAAATTTGGAACAAATACCCGATATGCCCAAATTTGATTTCTGGTGGATTTGTTGGGAGGATTGATTTTGTCATTTGGAATTTGTAGTTGCTGGGATTTATAGTTATCCTGCAATCTGAACTCCACCAAAGATGGAATTGAACCAAACTTGGCACACAGAACTCCCATGACCAACAGAAAATACTGGAAGGGTTTGGTGGGCATTGACCTTGAGTTCTGGAGTTATAGTTCATACATCCAGATCCCTGTGGACTCAGTCAATGATAGAGCTGTACCAAACTTGGCATGAAAACACAATATGCCCAAATGTGAACACTGGTGAAGTTTTGGGGAAATAGACCTTGACATTTGGGAGTTGTGGTTGCTGGGATTTATAGTTCACCTACAATCAAAGAGCATTCTGAACCCCACCAATGATAGAATTGGGCAGGACTTCCCACACAGAACCCTCATGACTAAGATAAAACATGGTGTTTTCTGATGGTCTTTGGCGACCCCTCTGACACCCCCCTCGTCCCCCCCCAGAGGTCCTGGCCCCCAGGTTGAGAGACACTGATCTAAGTCATTAATAAAGATGTAATAATGTAATAATGGGATTTGCAGTTGGGTAAAAGAGATAGTTTTAATTCCTTGCTAGAGATCTCAATTGGAATTTAGATAATTAGAGCTCACTTTCTGAATTCCAAGTGCCCCTGACAACTTGCAAATTCCAGAACTCTATGAGACAAAGACATGACCGGTAAGTGGTGTCAAAGCACTATAATTATGCAATGTGGATACACCTTGGGTCTTCCCTGCTCGTTCACGGAGAGAGGAACAAGTCTTTAATATGGACACAGTGTGATTACATTAACTATATCCATCCCATATAGCCTCTATGTGACTCTATGTCCACAGAGATGAAGAAGATATTGTGTTCAAAGAAACAGTCTGTTGTAGCACAAAACAAATAAAAGTGGGAAAGAAATCCAGGAACACCTTAACAATAATTTTAGCATTATGTTTATTTATAACCTGTTTTTCTCTCTTCAAATGAGACTCAAAACAACTTACAAAACAAGTCAATACAATTTAAAAATATATATTTTAGTACATGTTTTTGTGGATATTAATGCAATTTTTAGATGCACTGATGAAGTGGCATTAAAGCCAAAGGTTCAAAAACACTTTATATAGTTGTGGGGGGTAGAGTAGAATATAAATGGATACAGAAAGATGTAAATAGTGACTAGGATTAAAAAAAATGCTTTAAAACCTATAGCTTGGGCGTTGGTGGTGAATTGTTGGTGGACACATACTACGTAGTGTGCCCAATTACGACGTGGCTGAATGATTAAGGAGCTGCTCTATAATAACAGAAGTGTGTATACAGATTCAACAACTCAAAATGCACCTCCTTCTCTTTCTCCTCATCATGACAGTTTTTGCTCCCAAAAGAAGATCAGAAGCTGTAGCAGCTCCCCATCTCTTGCCTCCAGCTTCCCAATTCTATAGAAAAGGGATGGAGGACATTTAATCCTTAACTAAACTTATATACATTTACTGGAACTCCAACTCCCAGACCATGGAAGAGATTACGTGGTTCACTGTCTCCCTATAGAGCAGTGGTTTTCGACCTTCCTAATGTTGTAACCCCTCATGTTGTGGTGACCTCCAACCATAACATTATTTTCATTGCTACTTCATAACTGTAATTTTGCTACTGTTATGAATCGTAATGTAAATATCCAATATGCAGGGTGTATTTTCATTCATTGGACCATATTTGGCACAAATACCTGATATGCCCAAATTTGAATACTGGTGGGGTTGGGGGGGGGTGATTTTGTCATTTGGGAGTTGTAGTTGCTGGGATTTATAGTTCACCTACAATCAAAGATCATTCTGAACTCCACCAATGATCAAATTGAACAAACTTTGGCACACAGAACTCCCATGACCAACAGAAAATACTGGAAGGGTTTGGTGGGCATTGGCCTTGAGTTTTGGAGTTGTAGTTCACCTACATCAGAGAGCACTGTGGACTCAAACAATGATGGATCTGGACCAACTTGGCACAAATACTCAATATGTCCAACTGTGAACACTTGTGGTGTTTGGGGCAAATAGACCTTCACATCTGAGAGTTGTAGTTGCTGGGATTTATAGTTCCCCTGCAATCAAGGAGCATTCTGTACCCCACCAATGATAGAATTGGGCCAAACTTCCCACACAGAACCCCCATAACCACCAGAAAATACTGTGTTTTCTTATGGTGTTTGGCGACCCCTATGACACCCTCTTGAACCCCCCCCCCCCAGGGGTCCAGGCCCCCATGTTGAGAAACACTGCTATAGATGTAATTTTAAAATAATCCCATTTATTTCAGTGCCCCGTTTTAGAGCTTCCATGTTTCTGCTCTATTTAAATTTTGGCTGAAATATTAAAAGCTGTCTACATTATCAACATCTCTCCACATTGTTCATGATATCCACTGTATTTGAATGATTGAGAAGATAAGGATTAGTTAAGAAAGCTCTTTAGTTCATAGATACACATTTCATCTTCTTCCTCTGGGAGTTGAAGTATGAGACAGAAGTTCAGAAGAGCGGAGTTGAAGAAGCAAGAGTTCAGAAAGTCTTGGGATCCTTGGACACAGCTGTCTGGTTATCGGTGCTGCTGGGGGCCATGTTCTGATAAACCACCACAACCTGAAGAATGAAAAAGGCCATGGATAAAATCATCTCCTTAGCCACTTATTCTGCTCCTCAATATCTAAATAGCTGCTTGTGTCTGCCCACAGCACTCTTAACAACAACAACAACAACAACAACAACAACAACAACAATTTAGTTCTATTCTGCCCTATCTCCCCAAGGGACTCGGGGAGGTTTACAACATATATTGGCACACATTCAATGCCGCAAGAAGTTGAACAAAGACAAAAATAACCAACCCCCAATTATATTATCATATTATGCTTTATTATTATACCACAATATATATAATACACTACCAGTATATTACACTATTATACACTATTCTATTTATTATTATTATTATTATTATTATTATTATTATTATTATTCCAAAGGGACAAATGGCTGCTTACATGGTAATATATATATTGTACCATATCATAAGGAGCCCTCAGTGGTGCAGTTGGTTAAAGCGCTGAGCTGCTGAGCTTGTTGACCGAAAAGTCGCAGGTTCGATTCCGGGGAGTGGCGTGAGCTTCCGCTGTCAGCCCTAGCTTCTGCCAACCTAGCAGTTCGAAAACATGCAAATGTGAGTAGATCAATAGGTACTGCTCTAGTGGGAAGGTAACGGCACTCCATGCAGTCATGCCGGCACATGACCTTGGAGGTGTCTATGGACGATGCCGGCTCTTTGGCTTAGAAATGGAGATGAGCACCACACCCCAGAGTCAGACATGACTCGACTTAATGTCAGGGGACAAACTTTACTTTACTTTACTTTACTTTACTACCATATGATAAGTTGTAGTATATACAATATACAATATATTATACTACACCATTATTAATATTAAATAAATGAGCCCTCAGTGGTGCAGTGGGCTAAACCCTTCTGCCAGGAGGACTGAAGACCGACAGATCGTAGGTTTGAATCCGGGGAGAGCACAGATGAGCTCACTCTGTCAGCTCCAGCTCCCCATGCGGGTTATGAGAGAAGCCTCCAACAAGGATGGTAAAAATGAAAACATCCGGGTGTCCCCTGCGTAACGTCCTTGCAGACGGCCAATTCTCTCACACCAAAGCGACTTGCAGTTTCTCAAGTCGCTCCTGACACACACACACACAAATATTACATACAATATAGCAGCACTGTTACATTACAATGTTATTATTTCTATATATTAGTAAAGGGAAAGGTTTCCCCTGACATTAAGTAAAGTTGTGTCCAAGTCTGGGGGTGGTGCTTATCTTCATTTCTAAGCCAAAGAGCCGGCGTTGTCTGTAGACACCTCCAAGGTCATGCATGGTGCATGTTACCTTCTCGCCAAGGCGGTACCTATTGACCTACTCATATTTGCATGTTTTCGAACTGCTGGGTTGGGGCTAACAGTGGGAGCTCACCAGAATCGAACCACCAACCTTTGAGTCAGCAAGTTCAGCAACTTAGTTGTTTAATCAGGGGGGCTGAGAAGGCCTAAGAGAAGGCTGAAGACCTTGCAAAACTATGATTCCAGAGTAATAAGCCATGATAGTTAAAGTGGTGTTGCATTAATGCTGGAGTGATGATGCGCCCCCAGACTGAATATTACCGTTTCAGTATAGGCATCTCGGCACACGGTCTTGCACCCAAAGGCAGCAGTAGAAATGGCGATGCAGCACTCGAGGATGGCGAAAACCAGTAAAACTGCAAGAATCCCATACCTGGTATTCTGCCAATAAAAATACAGGAAAAGGATTCATTCTTCAGGGCTGAACATATAACCAGATTTTGATCCAATTTTAATGCAACCAAACATTATTTAATAACAAAGAAAAAATACAAACTAAGCTAAACTGGAAGGCACTCATATGAGGGTTGAATAAAAAGTAATGCCTCCACCTTCGCAACTCCTCAACAGATGGCAGTACTGGTATGCGGCAGGTGCTAGCTTGTTCAGTAGACTCTCCTCTACAGTTTCATTTTGGTGGGAAGCCTTAGCACTGAATGGTTGTGTTGTTAAAGTGTGAAGTATGAAACCTTGCGCAGATGGTTGGTCAATGCGACTTAAGAAACATGCAGTCATTGAATTCCTGACAGCAGGTGTCACCCCAAAGGAGATTCATCAGAGAATGCAAGCTATTTATGGTCATTGTGTTGATGTGAGTACTGTGAGTCATTGGGCAAGTAAGTTTAAAGATGTTGAGGTGGGAACATCTGACTTGCATGACAAACAAAGAGTTGGACGTCCTGTGACAGCAACCACTGAGTTTCACAAGCAAAGGGTTGACAGATTGATTCAGGACGATCATCGTCTCACTCAGAGAGAAATTTCAAGCATAATCTGCATTTCACAAGAACGTATGGGGCACATTATTGCTTTGCTTGGCTTTTGGAAGATCTGTGCACTATGGGTACACAGCAGAATTTCAGAGACTGGATCTCACTCCCGTACGGCATCCTCCATACAGTCCAGATTTAGCACCTTCTGACTTCAATTTGTTCCTGATAACGAAAGAAGATTTGCAGGGACATCATTATGCTTCTGATGAAGACGTTGAGAGAACTGTGAGATGCTGGTTGCGGCTTCAGAAAACTTGTTCATCATTGGCAGAAATGTATCCAATTGTCTAATGATTATGTGGAAAAGTGAATAGTGATAGTTAAAGAACACATTCTAAGGATTATTTCTGTTTGATTTATTAAAATATTCCCATCCAAACACAAGTAACGAAGGTGGAGGTATTACTTTTCATTCAACCCTCGTACTAGGATGGCAAACTGCTGGAGAAAAGTCAGGGTTTCAAACACTATTCCCAGGCAAGGAAGCAGATAGCCCAACCAACACATATGCATTTAGAGTGAATTTCAAGACTAAAAAGAACAGTCAAACATGATTATAACTTGGAAGACTCCAAGAATGTTGTACTCTTTTAAGAGCAGTGGGGGGACGGGGACAGGACTAATTCCAAATGTCCCTTTGGATACGCAACATGGTCTACTCCTAATGAGATATTTACTTACGTGATAAATCATTTTATTAGCACACTCTTTTATATCTGCTTCCGATTCGGAGAAGTCACATCCATAATAGTAATACCTTCGGTCAAATATTAATGAAATGCAAAGCAATATGATCCCAACGCCAGCTGTGACGGCACCCACAACATTCATTCCCAGCATGCCTTTCACCTAATAATGAGAAACAATACAATATTATTTCATTAAGTTTGGTACAGGTATAGAATCATAGAATCATTGTTGGCCATTCAGTCCAACCCCCTGCTAAAAAGCAGAAAAATCGCATTCAAAGCACCCCTGACAGATGGCCACCCAGCCTCTGTTTAAAAGCCTCCAACACACTCCAAGGCACAGAGTTCCATTGCTGAATGGCTCTCACAGTCAGGAAGTTCTTCCTCATGTTTACGTGGAATCTCCTTTCTTGTAGTTTGAAGCCATTGTTCCACTTCCTGGTGTCCAGGGCAGCAGGAAACAAGCTTGCTCCCTCCTCCTTATGACTTCCCCTCACATATTGATACATGGTTATCATGTCTCCTCTCAGCCTTCTCCGCTTCAGGCTAAACATGACCAGCTCTTTAAGCCGCTCCTCATAGGGTTTGTTCTCCAGACTCTTGATCATTTTAGTCGCCCTCTTTTGGACACATTCCAGCCTGTCAACATCTCCCTTCAATTTTGGTGCTCAGAATTGGACACAGTATTCCAGATGAAGTCTAACCAAGGCAGAATGTTTATTTTTATTTATTTTATTTATTTACAGTATTTCTATACCGCTTTTCTCACCCTGAGGGGGACTCAAAGCAGTTTACACATAAGTAATGACAAAATTCAATGCCAGTACAAACAATTACAATTATACACTACAATTTAACATAAATCAAATTCAAACCATACATCCATAAGCAATAAAACAATCATTGAAACAATAAAACAGTTTCATTTGTCAAATCGCCGTTCCAGTCATTGTCTTCCTGAAATGCTGCATACATTTACTTCTACTGCCCGAAGGCCTGGTCCCAAAGCCATGATTTTATTTTTTTTCTAAAAGCCAGGAGGGAGGGAGCAGATCTTACCTCATTTGGAAGTGTGTTCCATAGGCAGGGGGGGGGGGGCACAGCCGAGAAGGCCCTGTCTCTCATCCCTGCCAGGCGCATCTGTGCTCTTGATGGGAGCGAGAGCAGGGCCTCCCCGGATGATCTTAGATTACGAGGTGGGACGTAGGGGCAGATGCGTTTGGACAAGTAAGCTGGGCCAGAACCGCATAGAGCTTTATAAGTCAAGACCAGCACTTTGAATTGGGCTCGGAGATGGACCGGCAGCCAATGGAGCTGGCATAGTAGGGGGGTGGTATGCTCCCTGTATGCCGCCCCAGTTAGTAATCTGGCTGCCGCCCGTTGAACTAGCTGAAGTTTCCGAACCATCTTCAATGCAGCCCCACGTAGAGTGCGTTGCAGTAGAGGAGTAGCATGATTTCCCTGGATCTAGACACTATATTTTCCCTGATGCTAGATCTCTTAGAAATGCAACCTTAGTGCTCTACCTAAAGATTTCTCTTGATAAGGAGCAAGATAAAGAGAAAAACCTGAGCAAAATATTTTGCTAGTTGCCAATTGTTAGGTTGCTGCTTCCGTTTTCACATAGGCGTTTTACCATTCTAAAATGTTGAAGGGCCTATTGCAAGGATTGATTATTGGCTAACTAACAAACTGAGGTATCTCTGGTCCTACCTTTATGTTTGGGATTGCTGACCAGTGAAACCTAGCTACTAGGGTTGGATAGGTTCACTCGGAAATGACTGAAATTCAGAAAAAAACATACGAATTTAGACATCTGAAGCAGGTTTTGAACCATGCAGGAAAGGTGTGGGGGAATCCGATTTTGAACCATTTACCTTTTCCCCCCAGTAATAGTCTGTAATGTCCGGATGTCTCCCAATGTTATTATAATTTTCACAACCATTATGCAACTTTGGTGATGGCAAGAAAATGATAAAAATCTCATTCTTTCTGCCAGAGCTGCAAGAAGGGAAGCGGTGGGCGTGACTAATTACAGCCACTGTAACTGTAGTTTGGGAAACCCCCAATGGTAGAAACTGCAAAAGTCCCTGCTGTTAAACTACATTTCCCACAATGCACACTTGCTCATTAACCAAAATGGCTGAAGGGCCCAAAAATAGCTGTTTTTAGCAGTCTTCATCTAAATATAAAATAAACTGATTGAATCTACAAAGGAGTCTAAAGAAGGCAGCAAAGCAATAAGCAACTTAAAACATAAACTGCTTTAAAAACCAATCCTTTTACTTTGGCCTCATTGCCATGAAAAAGGCACTGGGAAAGCCAGTCAGCCCTTTATGGTCAGTAAGTAATGACAAAATAAAATGATGATTGCATCTGCTAATAAGAATATATGGCTGGATGTGTCTTGAGGGTCCCCTCCAACTCAGTAGAGGAAGCAAATGGATGTCAGGAGAGTTTGGATGGTGACTTTCTGCCCAGAAGAAGGGGGTCAGTCTAGATGTCCCTTGATGGGGTCTGTACTATGATTTCTGTTCTCCACCAAGTTAACACAGTTTGTGCCATAAAAACAAACAAAAGTTTCTGGAGTAGAACAACTACTTTCAAAGTAAAAACCATTAAATGAAACAGGAAATAACACTTTCAAATGAGGAACAGATTTTCTTTATTAAAAATGTTTTTTATAATAACTTTGAAAATTTGCCAAAAATCCATGGATAAGTCAAAGTTTATGAAATTTGGTGACCTAACAGCAGTTAATGTGTTCTACCACTGTAGCAAGTTTCATCAGAATTGGTCTAAAAATTAGAGAGGAAAAATCCCCTGTAATTTCCACAGTGTCTGCTGTTATTCCCTACTGCGCATGCGCATCTGCATTAACCAATTGATTTGGAAGTTTCAGAAGTTTCGGAAAGTTTCGTTTTTTTTAAAAAAATCCAGAAGTGACTTTAGAATTGAATCACCAGCGCCCCCTACATAAAAAAATTGAACCATTTTTTTTCTGGATCAACCAAGCCTAGTAGCTACACAAACTACTCCCAAATTGATTATAGTTGCCCCCTCAGTATACATCTTTCTTACCATTTCTGGACTTCTCTGTACTCTCGGCACTGCTGAATACAGGAATACAGGAATAAATCACTACATTAGATGCATGACACCCACTTTTGGGGAATGTGCTTTTCCTGCATGGCAAGGGGTTGGACTGGGTGGCCCATGTGGTCTCTTCCAACTCTATTCTTCTATAATTCATCTCCCAGAATCCTTCTCCATGAGCAATGCTGGCTTGAGCCCACAGCATCTGTGAGCCACTGCTCGCCCATGAGGCCCATCCTCTCAATCATATCACTCATTCTCCAAATAGGTCACTTACCAGTGACATCTTTGGATTCCTGGCAGCTGCCACAGACAGAGATCCTGAAATGATGTACTAGGAGAGATAAAAAAGTCAGAAGTGGCAACAAACAAGATTCAAGTGACTGTCTTGCATTCCTCCCATTCTTTCTTAGATCTTCATCAGAAAATCATCAACTTGGATCTCAGGGCCCTTCCACACAGCCATATATTGTGTATACTCAAGTATAAGATGGGCTTTTCAGCCCTTTTTTAGGCTGAACACCCCCCCCCCTCCCTCGGCTTATACTCGAGTCAAAATAATTTATTATTTGACTCAGTTATTATTAATATTATTTCATTTGTTATTTGACTTATTATTATTATTATTATTATTATTATTATTAAAAGTGAAGGTAAAGGTTTCCCCTTGACATTAAGTCTAGCTGTGCCCAACTCTGGGGGATGCTGCTCATCTCCATTTCTAAGCCGAAGAGCTGGTATTGTCCGTAGACAACTCCAAGGTCATGTAGCCAGCATGACTGCATGTAGTACCATTGCATTCCTGCCTGAGGAATGCAATGATACTCCATTTTTTCAAACTGCTAGGTTGGCAGAAACTGGGTCTAACAGCAGGAGCGCACTCCACTCCGCAGATGCAAACTGCCAACCTTTCGGGCGGCAATTTTAGCTCAGTGGTTTAACCTGCTACACCACCAGGGGGCCCTGATCATTATTACATTTACATAATTTTACTCTATTATCACTACAATTATTATTTGACTTTATTATTACTGTTATTATTATATTTCCATTATTTTACTCTATTATTATTTTTATTATATTTATTATTTTACTCTATTTATTACTGTTCTTACTACATTTCCATTATTTTACTCTATTATTATTTTTATTACATTTATTATTTTACTCTATTATTATTGGAAAAAGACATAAGCACATTTACATTGAAGAAGGTTAGAATAATGGCTTAATCAGAGTTGGACAGTCTTATCTTAAATTACAGTTTTACGTAAATATTCAAAAACATTTAACCCACTGATGCCTCAATTAATGTAATTGTATTGGTATCTATTTTTATTTTGAAGCTTACCAGTAGCTGCTGCATTTTCCATCCTTGGCTTATACTCAAGTCAATACATTTTCCCATGTTTTTGTGGTAAAATTAGGGGCCTCAGCTTATATTCGGGTCAGTTTATACCCAAGTATATACAGTAACCCAGAATATCAAGGCAGAAAATCCCACAATATCTGCTTTAAACTGGGTTATCTGAGTTCACACTGCCATATATTCCAGTTCAAAGCAGATAATGTGGAATTTTATTCAACTGCGTGGAAAGGGCCTCCGCTAGCACTTCTTAAGGTATGGCATTGAGGACTGATCCCTACTAACCATGAGATTTATCTATGGAGAAGCTTCATAACAACCGGCCGAGAATCTGGACCACTGTACTATTGGTCCCACCATTTTCCTCATTCACAGTAAGCCACACGCACACTGGAAATAGCGATGCAGACACAAGCTCTCGAGGACATGATCAGTGGGTGGCGCAAGTTTAACAAACCAAATTCTAAAAAGAATTCTGTGAAAATATAATTTGGACATGCTGTCAAGTAGAATTACCAATATTCCCGTCCAGTACGATGCCTTAAGAATAACATAAATCTCATAGTCTGTATCAGTGGCATCCATCACAATTGCAAAAACTATCCCAATAATTCCTGTGAGTATCTGGGTAATCTGAAAGGAGAGAATTGAACAAGTTGGTTTAGGTTAAACAACATGGTATGTGAAAGATAAACACCAATGAATTAAAAGCATCTATATAAATAAAAATGTAATGTTCGTTTATGGGATTAACATAACTCAAAAACCACTGGGCGAAATGACACCAAATTTGGACACAATACATCTATCAGGCCAACAAGTGACCATCACTCATAAAAACACTGCAAAACACAGCAGAAGAGACTTAAAAAGCCAAAAAACAAAAATACATTACAACGCATGTGCAAAACCACAAATATACACATATACACAAATATATACTCACAAAACACATATACACAGACTGGGCCACAGTAACATGTGGCTGGGCACAGATGGTCAATAATATAAATGTCAGATTAATATAAAAAAGACTGAATTGTCGAAGGCTTTCATGGCTGGAATCATTGGGTTGCTGTGAATTTTTCGGACTGCATGGCCATGTTTCAGTAGTATGGAATATGGCCGTACAGCCTGAAAGACTCACAGCAACCCATTAAAAAGATTGTCTGTATACATAGAGTTTGTTATTGCGGAGATGATTTTGTTTCGCTTAACTTCTAGTCCTTTTGTCCACCAAACTCAAGGTGGCATATATGGCTCTTCCACATTATTCTCATAACATTACAAAGCAGATTAGACAGACAGTGTAATCCCAAAGTCACTCAATGTGTTTATGGTTCCATGCACCCACACCTTCCAAGTTTCAGCCTCAACACTGCTCCACAATATTGTCCTCTTCCATTGTTTGTGATAAATAGAGATGATGGGGTTTTTTTTCTCGTGTCAGGAGTGACTTGAGAAACTGCAAGTCACTTCTGGTGTGAGAGAATTTGGCCATCTCCAAGGACGTTGCCCAAGGGATGCCCGGATGTTTTGCCATCCTGTGGGAGGCTTCTCTCATGTCCCTGCATGAGAAGCTGGAGCTGACAGATGGGAGCTTGATCTGTTCTCCCTGGATTCGAACCGCTGACCTACTGGTCAGCAGTCCTGCCGGCACAACAGTTTAACCCATTGCACTAAGACTTGAAATGCACTACTGACTCTAAAGTGCAATTTCTTCCTTAGGCCAACAGCCATGGTTGTGGTGGAATGCATAGTCTGGGGGATTTTGACAAATGGAAGGATTTCGTCCACTGTTATAACTTCAATGAAAGGTAAACAATGTAACAGTATAGCTCTGAAGTCACACTCAAAACTCCCTTATATCTATCATATGCATGCACACTTATACATGGGTAGTCTTGGCAACTGCAAATCATGTTATTGATTCTGGAACATTTTTAGCCATGGTCTCCAAATGGTCTTAAATTCTGTTCAAGATAGGAAACTTGTTTATTCCTTATATTATTATAGGTCACCTTTGTACCTAGTGTTGAGACTAGGTTCTGTAGGGTTGTTCTTAAGTTGAATTTGTATGTAAGTTGGAACAGGTGCATTTTTAAATGTAACTCCAGGCATACATATACATACATATATACATATATGAGCTCCTCCCCCCGCACCAACTGCTGCTCTGAAATCAGATGGAAGCCAGGAATATAGTTCCAAATTGTCTCCTGTGCTATGCTAATAATATAATATAATATAATATAATATAATATAATATAATATAATATAATATAATATAATAATATAATATAATATATACCATTATAATATATCGTATATACATATAATATTTGTAATATTATAATGTAATACAATATAATGCCAATGATAATAATACAATATTATAATTATATCTTTTATATTACACGTAATATTACTAATAATATTACCATATAATGGTATAGTACAATATAGTAATATATAATACTTATATGGTGCTATGCTAATAATATTGTATGTATGTATATCTTGTAAGCCGCTCTGAGTCCCCTTCGGGGTGAGAAGGGTGGCATATAAATGTCGTAAATAAATGAATAAATAAATCTGTTGTTATTCATTCTTCTATTACAAAACCACTCAGCTGCCCAGAAAGAACCCTGAAAACATTTCTTGTCTTGAAAGACGTGCATAGTGCTCACACATAATGTTTCTTATATGGGTACTTACCCCTAGGACAAGTGGTTCTCCCAAATAGAACTTCTTCAATGGTCGCGGCAAGGAAGATTTTGTCTCATGGCTTGAGGAAGGATTGGACAGCTGGGGCAAGACTGGCATTGTATCCATGGTTGTGTTTGGAAGCAGGCTTCTTTTGTCTTGCAAAACAGAAAAATGTCCACTTTACAGGTGAAGTGGGGGGGGGGGGATATCACTGTCATCTTTTGAAGGAACACTCTTGTGGAGTGTCCTCACTCTATCCTTCTCCTGAATGACATGCTATTCTTTTCACACACACTGTATGAACAGTGGCCTGCATCAATAGGAGTCTGGTGTCTAGATCCAAGGAAGTCATGCTACCCCTCTATTCTGCCTTGGTTAGACTACACCTGGAATATTGTGTCCAATTCTGGGCACCACAGTTGAAGAGAGATATTGACAAGCTGGAATGTGTCCAGAGGAGGGACTAAAATGATCAAGGGTCTGGAGAACAAGCCCTATGAGGAGCGGCTTAAAGAGCTGGGCATGTTTAGCCTGAAGAAGAGAAGGCTGAGAGGAGACATGATAGCCATGTATAAATACAGAGAGAGGAAGTCATAGGGAGGAGGGAGCAAGCTTGTTTTCTGCTGCCCTGGAGACTAGGACGCAGAACAATGGCTTCAAACTACAAGAAAGGAGATTCCATCTGAACATGAGGAAGAACTTCCTGACTGTGAGAGCCATTCAGCAGTGGAACTCTCTGCCCAGAGTGTGGTGGAGGCTCCTTCTTTGGAAGCTTTTAAACAGAAACTGGATGGCCATCTGTCAGGGGTGCTTTGAATGCAATTTTCCTGCTTCTTGGCAGGGGGTTGGACTGGATGGTCCATGAGGTCTCTTCCAGCTCTATGATTCTAACACCAAGCACAAAGTAGCTGCACAAAATAACATCCTGTGGAAACTTACTGGCAGTGCATGGGGTGCAGACCCAAAATTAATAAGAACATCAGTCCTGGCTTTGACATACTCAACTGCTGAATATGCCTGCCCTGTTTGGCACAAGTCTGCCCACAGGAAGCAAGTGGACAAAGCATTAAATGAAACATGCAGAATAATCACAGGATGCCTTAAACCTACACCTGTTGGTAAACACTACAAGCTATCTGACATTGCCCCCATAACTATAGGAGATGTAAGGTTGAACACTGTGAAAACGATCCACTACCAACTCCCTCCCAGTAGACTCAAATCAAGAAAAGGCTTCATGAGAACCACCACTCCTCTTAATGTTCCCCCA